TGACATAATGATTTTATTTGGTCCCTATATTTTTCAGGAATAACAATTAATTCCCTTTCATTTCCATTTTTATCTATTTTCCGTTTCACCAACAACCTGTTTTCTTTTACTTTGAAATCATTTGTATTGCTGGAATTTTTATTTTTAGTTTTCCTAAGCAACGAGGCTAGATCTCTGCTTTGGTGGTTAGATCTCCGCTTTGGTGTTGAGATTCAATTAATTCCGTAGAATTAACATTAATTACTTTCTCAATTTCTTTGTCTTCCTCATCAGCTTACGGTAAAATATCTTCAACAGTCTCAATAAGAGACAGTTCTTGATTCCGCATTTTGATGTCTCTACTTCGATCTTCTTCGTGAGATCGTGTCCAAACTGCATTTATCCTTTCTAAATTTAAAATTTGTTTATCTTTGAACAACTGATCGGTTTTGTTACCTAATACCTATCTGCCAGTATCAGCTGCCTTTGTGTTTATGTAACCCAAGTTCACAATTAATTTCAATTCCAGTTAACTGTAGACACACTAGAAGGTCAGATCATTTAATAAATATTGCACCCAAACATGTTATCCAGTCATTTTTGCATTATCTAAGTATTTTCGAGAAATAATATCTACTGTGTCTCCCTGTCTCGAAGAATAGCCATTTCATACCCATTAACAAAACCATTAATTGTGTATGTCTCTAACAAATCATCATTTGAAAATACGCAATATACTTTTTCGTTTGGTTTTAAGCGAGGGCATTGAGGCTTAAAATGTTCGTATGACCTGCATTCAAAACAACGTGGTCAGTATCTTTAGTCATATAAAATTTCTGTATTTCTTGTTTTGAAACTGACTTTGTCGCTGATCTTTTTGGTATTTTGAATCATCCCATTTATTAGAATGCTTAAAATGAGATGCATTCTAATAAATTTTCGTGGTGTGCAATGAACTGGAAGTTGATCTGTCAGCACTATCCTCATCTTCAGGGCAGATGTTTTTATTTTAATTGGATTATAATTCCTTAAAGTAGTATTTCATCTCGATGTACTCCATCTTTGATATGATTTAAATCAAATTCCTCGTCGTTATAAATCACGAATACACATCAGATACTTTTCTGGTTGCAATTTTCTAATTTCGACTATGTGTAATTTATGCTTTACGTATGCGCACGTTGAAAGAAATGTTTAATAAAGTAAACAAATAAATATTAAGCTCTTTTTTTTTTTGTAAATTTTGATACACTTTAGATCATAATTGCTCTTTATTTCATAAATTACGGTTTTATAATTTCTGCATGTCATCTTACGAGATTTAAATTGATGATCTATATTTCGGAATCTCCGAAGTCCCGACGAGTCCGGATTAAAGACTTTGTACTGTATATACCACGTGACTGGATGGCGAGAACTAAGAAAAGACTTTTGCCAATTTGGCAGTACAATCAAATTGCACTACGCCAGTTTGACCTTACTACTTATTTTTTGCGTGCCTGTTTGGCAACAAATTCAAAAATACAGCTAGCAGTTATATATATATATATATATATATATATATATATATAAATGCCGTAATGGCTTGCACATACCAATTATCAACATAAAGATTCAATAACAGTAAAGCCCAAATAATAATTTTTAAATATTTTTATCACAAATATCAATTAAAATGTATGCCTAATATTTTTAATATCGGTTATTTTACACAAAAACTTACACTGTTTAAATGTAATTCTGATATAAAATATTAAAATTTAATGAACTCTTTTTAAGAACACCAAAAGTTAATCTTATCTTCAGAGATCAGCAGTGTCCTTATCTGACAATTCTTTGCTCGGACACAAGTTATAGAAACACAGAAGATACTTTTAAATGATCCACTTTAAAACAGCAGACTTCTGACATCCATTTCACCTTGAAATAAAGAAACTCCAATTAGTACTAGCAAACTTGTTCTCAAAATTTCAGCAGCTTTCTGTGATTAAGAGACCAGCACCATCGAAATTGATAATTACATTCCTAATTTCCAGGATCTCGGTGGGACCTACAATTTTATAAAACAGATAATCTTCTTAGTAAAACATAAGTTTTATTTTTAGTTTATGAAGATATATAATTTGAATACAGTCTTTTAGTTGCAAATTTTTCTTCCATCTACTAGCTGGTAAAACTTTCAGAATCACAATTTTAAACAAACTGCAACATTGCTGAGCAACGGTTACATGATACATATATGGCATTGCCACTCCAATATCAAAGGATAATAAATATAATTATTTGTTAAATAATAAAGTATTACAAACATGTAAGAATAAAATTTTAACGTTAATTTGGAATAACCCTTAAAAATCTTCTCTATCCTAAAAATAACAAACTTTTCTCGCAATTCTTGAATAACACAGATGGCACTTGGATACACATAGTAACATCAGAAGAAAAAAGTGAAGTCATTTATCCAGCAGTAATAATTAATCAGTATTGCATCCTTACATTGAAAAATAAAGTAACTTCATTTATTAATCTACCAATCAATCACAGTGACATAATATTTCATTTTTTAATACTTTGTTTAGTAAACGTAGTCTACTAGTTGTGAAAATTTTTAAATAATTGCCTGTTTTGCCTTTTGAAATATTTTAATGTATTATACAGTCAAAAGTCTTTAATCCGGACTCGTCGGGACTTCGGTAGATTCCGGAATAGGGGTTTTCCCACATTATAGATCATTAATTTAAATCTGGTAAGATGGCATTGCAGAAATTATAAAAGTAAAAAATATGAAACCGTAATTTATAAAATAATGAGCAATTATGATCTAAAGGGTATCAAAATTTACATAAAAAAGCTTAATATTTATTTGTTTACTTTATTAAACATTTCTTTCAACGTGCGCATGCGTAAAGCATACATTATGCATAGCCGAAATTAGAAAGTTGCAACCAGAAAACTAACTGATTTGTATTTGTGATATTTATAATGATGAGGAATTTGATTTAAATCATATCAAAGACGGAGTACATTGAGATAAAATACTACATTTAATAAGGAATTATAAGCTGAATAAAATAAAAACATCTGCCCTGAAGATAACGATAGTTCTGACAGATCAACTTCCAGTTCATTGCGCACCGCGGCATCCACTTCTTGTTTGATGGACATCGAAACATACTTTCGTTTTGTGGATCCTTTGGGAGCTCCAGCATCGGAAATTCTATTTGACATAATCGAAAGTTCAAGCTTACTTTTATAAAATTGCTCTTACAGTCTGCAAAAAATAATAAGCCGGATCCAATTCAAAGATTAAGGAACAACGCAATCATCAACATTAACTGAAATAGATAATTAGATAATTTTAGCTTATACCGTCCATTATACATTAAAATGCGCACGCGAAAAATGTATTCTACACTTGCGCACACTCATATGCGCGCGCAGTCGTAAAAGGTCTTACGCGCACGCGTAAACGCCTTATGCGCATGTGTTAACGCGGTGCATGCGCAGAAAGTTTTTAGCTTTGAGGTCCGGATTATGGGTGTTCGAATTAACGACTTTTGACTGTATATGATCATGTTATATTATGTGTAAAATATGAAGGAAATTTAAGTCTGTGAATGTCTTTAGGTTAGAAAATAATAATAAAATAAACTTGCCAGCTCCATTGTCATTTACCTCGCACCTTAAAAATTCCTGTGTAGCATTCTTATTTGTTAAATATATATATGTGATGTACCAGCTTTTGTCCAGAATAAATAGATTGGTGAAGAAATATAGATGTAGTGGTAGCTTAAATTATCAGACGATAAGTTTAGAAATCAGGATACATTTATTATTGGTCAGTAGAAATAGTTACAAAAATCATATTTCCGGAGTAAATAAAAAAGAATTACTAATAAGTTTTTGTATGAAGTTTACTGCATCGTGACATTTAAGAAAAAGCCCCCGATATTCCATTGCGAGTCCTTTTATAGCCTCTGGAAAGGCAGAGCTTCCAAGAAATGGTGTCAGCCAATCCAGTTCGCTTTAAATAATTCCAGAACGTTCTATAACTGTACGTGTAGAAAAAACGGAAAAAAACAACTTGACTACGAGCTGTGGATTTAATTCCACGTACTTTCAAATGAGAGAATGTCGCCATTAAAAAATGAAAAGAACATACGGTTAGAACTTTAAGTGTATTCTTGACTATGGAATTTTATTATTACATATATATATATATGTATGTATGTATGTATGTATATTTATGTGTATGAAAGAGAGAATTGCTTTATTTTATTTATATAATTAACTAAAAGTTTAATTACTGTAAAAGTATCATGTATAGAACTTTTATGATTCATATGGGATAATTTCTTAAAAGCTTAATAATTGTAAAAGTATCATTTATAGAGCTTTTGCTATTGATATAGAGATTTTCTTTTATACAGTCAGATTTTTCTAGGGAGTTGTGTTTTGCATATTGCTTTAAAAATGCTATCATTGAATATATTAGAAATGGTATATAAAGGAAAATTAATTACAGGAACTGTGTATGTGTTGTTGTTCATGCCCCTTGCTTTCAAACTCAATGTGCTCAGAAACAACATATCTCAAAAGTAGTGTTTACTAAGGATAGAAATTGGAGTGTGTTTAATTTTCATTCTTTTTAACTCCATAATTATAATTATGAATTAGTCCCAAGTTAATAGAGTCAGCCAAATGTAATAGTTGCCATTGCTACAGACAGACAAATAAAAAGCTTAAATAAGTCTATTCTTGAATTATGAGCTGTAATTATGTATCAGCTTGATTTTGAGATTCCAGTGGTGTATAAATGATGAAAACAGTGTTAGGATGGTTGAAGGCTGTAAAAAGTGTAATAGGGATGTTTTTATTGATTGTTTGAATACTCAGTGTTATAATTGTTCATAGATATAAGATCCTAGTATTTGTTACAATCACTTAAAATATTTATTCGTATTTAGTATTATTATTATGACATTTTTAATAGTATTAAATATTTATTTCATTCTTTACAGGAACGAAAGTTCTACTTCTTCCCAATGGTACAGTGCCATCCAATAATCACATAGTTGGTGTTGTAGAATTAGTAAAACCACGTATTCAACAGTTAGTTGAAGATGCTAATGTGGTGAGTATGTTGTAGCTATCTTTACACAATATATTAGTTTTAAAGAGCTTACAGTATTATGAAGCTTTAAATAAAGTAGCAGTTCTTTTAGTACTAGAATTACCAACAATTAACATAGTTTGTTCCAACCAAATGAGAAAAATCCATCGTTTTGATAGCTTAGCAGATCTAGTATTAATATAGGTTTATCAAAGCGATATGTGCATTTTTTGCTTATAATCATAAAATTTCCTGCTAAAATAATTTCAACATACACTGTGCGGGATATACTTTTACTGTAAAACTAATGAGAAAAAATTTGAAAACTTTATTGAAAGATAAAAAGAAACAACCCACTCTTTATAGCTGTTGCTTGTATATTAAAAAATAGAGGGAAAACATAGCAATTTTATCAGATATTAAAACTAAAAGTAGGTATAATTCAACCATTATATTTAGCACATTGTGAAGAAGATTATCATTAATATGAAATAAAAACATTCTCTATAATAACCAATTTACTGTTATTATATATTGCAAAATACAGGATTTTTAAGTAAATATCTGCAGATATGAAATTTAAATATCCATTCTCCAGCCCAACACACACACACATATACCAAAACTTGTTAAAATTTTTATTTCCAGTAGTTAGATAACATGTTTATTGCATTTGTTTATTAGCGATCATCTAAATTAAATGTGTAGTGTATGTTGATCCATGATTCTGGGATCAGATCCGTCTGCTTTGTAGAATGCAGTGACAAGGAAAACATAAGTGGCCATATTATGGTGCATTCCATGTATTGCATTGATGCACATTCTAATTCAATGCTGCAGTTCTGTGAGCACTTACGTTTTGACTTGCCTCTAGACTTTATTACAATATTGAGACGTGTATACCGAACACCTATTCGTGGATAATCTCTGGAAAAGAAGGATTGCTACTTCTGAATCTGTGACACTTTAAATGCTACATGATAACTGGATCCATCATTCTGTGATCAGATCCTTTGAAGAATGCAGTGACAAGTGAAGCATAGTTGGCACATTATGCTACATACCATGTACCTCATGAATGCACATTTTAATTCAACAAAGCCAACCTGCATCATATTCAGAATGTTAGAAATTTCCTGGATGAATAATTTCCATAAAATTTGATTAGGAATGGGGGGGTGCAGATCTGTGGGTCCTTAGACTACCTGCTTTGGACTTACTACAATATTGAGAAGTATGTGTACCAAGTCAAAACTTTAATAATCTTTTGAAAAGAAAGGATTGCTGCTTCTGAATCTGTGACCTTAAATGTTGTATGGATAAATGGAGAGAGATTGAGGATTGCTTTGATGATAGCCAAGCAAGTAAAGGAACATACATAAAAGATCCATTAGTTCATGAGCAAAATAGTTTTGTGATAAAATTTCATGAATTTTTCTCTTCTTAAGAAAACCAAACTGGATGATGTAAAAAATATTTTTAAATGTCTAGAATTTTTGACATGTATATGTTTCTGATTTATGTATTTTTTACAATGTATTTATCTTTGATTAAAATATTTCATTACTTCTTGAAAAGAATTGTCTTTTTTTTTTTTTCCCCAGTTGAAAATGTGGATACAGTTTTTAATTCCAAGGATTGAAGATGGCAATAATTTTGGAGTATCAATACAGGTAGTCTTATTTAAAGTACTTCAGTGAATATTTTATTTTTGATATTTTTTTGTATGAACCATAGGTATACTGTTTGCTATAAAAATTATTAAAATCCCTTTGTAAAAGTCGGAATTTTTTGTTTTTTTACATATACTTGATTATTAACAGTGTTTAGCCAAAAGTGGTATGGCTTCACATAGCGTAGATTTCGACTAGATTTAAGTATTGTTCCAATCTGAATAAATTGGAAATTAGCAAGGTGACAACCTTATGTTTGGTGTAGATTTAGTCAAAATTCTATCAATTTTGATGACGAACAGGTACAGATGACGAACAAGTGCTCACGTGGCATATTGTGACATTAAAGGTTGCGCCAGGTATAATGTATACCAGGTTGCTAATATATATTTAGGTCATTCAGTTCAAATTTATGAATGCAAAGGGATTTTGAAGTAATGCATATATATTTGTGGCACCATATTACAAACATAAAAAACTTTTACAACTGCAACATTTGTACTTGGTGTACCTGTTCTTGGAAAGGCCACATTCATGACATCATGCCTTTTAGTAGCTCGAGTCTCTTCTGTAAGTTGAACTGTACCCTTATCAGGGAAAAGGCTCTGAAATATCCTGCTTGGGGTTTCTAGGTAATGATGAACACTAAGAATGTCTACGCAACGAATCATCAGCTAGATTACAACCCAAAAGTTTTAAAAACTCACTACATCTGGTGCTGATTGATACATTATTTGCATGATATTTAAGCATTTATAGCTGCTACATTCATCATACTATAAAATATGACCATAGGCCATCTGCTTGTTTTCCTGGCGACATTATAAATGCTACACAATTGGTCAACAGTTTCAACTCCTGATTTAATTGCGTTATAAAAGGTTATCATCTGTGGCTTGTTTTTTTCACATGATTCATCAATTGCATCATCATGATGCATAATGGAGAGAATCAGAACCACCTTGTTTTTCTTAGTTACATAAGACATTAGAGTTGAGTCATTCTGAAACCCAAACAGTGATGTTCCTACTTCCTGATTCTTTGTTTGCATAAACTCTGGAGGAATTTAACTCTTATTCTTCCTCATGGTTCCAACCAAAGTAAGATTATTCTAAAGCAAAAAGTTAGCTAAATCTAACGAGGTAAACAAATTGTCTACAGTTATATAGCAACCTGTTCCTGAGATTACAGAACTCTGCTGTTTCAGAACATCTGCTGGTTTGTTGCTAATTTTGAATGGATCTGCAGGCTGCTTGTTAGCATATATTCCTAGGTTTACAATGTAGTACATCCTAGCATCTACTAATGCAAATAATTTTATCCCGAATGGTTTACTGGGGATGTACTGCCTAAAGAAACATTTAGCCTTAAAAGCTTCTAACTTTTCATCAACTGTACAATACTCTCCAACTGAATAAGCATTCTTAAAATTTTCAACAAATGAAGAAAACGCATCATGTATAGGTGCTAAATTGACAGTTATCTTCCTTATCTCTCGTGTATCCTTATTGTCGAACCTCAAACAATATAAAAGGAACCTAAATTGGTTTTCGGACATTATTAGACGGCATAGCTGAATACCCATTTTATCAGAGGACCATATCTCCTTGGTATTTAAGCAGAAATGTATAATATGCCTAGAAGCACTTTTATTTCAATTATGTTGGTCAAATGGGTATTCCTTTACCAAGAATAATTTTCCTGTACTGTGGATATCTTTTCATTTGTGAATTTAACTATATTAGATAGCATGTCATTGTTGAAAAACATGCCCAACATTGCTCTGGCATTCGAGCATTCTTCACTACTGGTAAGTTAGTGACAATATTATGTCACCGAGTGCATATATTTTTAGGTGGGCAAACTTTTGATCATTTTGATGGTTTATTCCGGCCTAGGAAATAATTATTCACAATGTAATCATCACTATCGCTATCATTGGAGTCCGTTTCTTGCTCGGTGTGTGTATTTTCTTCTCTTGTTTCCACTCTATCTTCTGTATCACTACAATCATCAAACTCATTCACTTGATTAGTCTTCTTCCATCTGCATACGTAGTACTATTTCTCTCGTATGTAATACATAGTACTTATCACATTCATTTGCCATATTGAATTTTTTCTGGGAAGTCATCAAGAAAAATAAGTTATAAAAACAATTGTTGCCCATAAAAATTATAAATACCTGAAGAAATACATTCTTTTTATATTTATAATTAAATATATTCACAGTTTCTTTTACCTATCACTAAAAAAAATTAATAAAAAAAACACTACTAAGGACAGCTGTTGATAATTAAAAATTAAAAATACTATAATATATAAATTTTAAAATACTTGCGTTTAGAATCAAAAACTGTCATGTGGCATCTCCTAGACTTCAGTACTGCACATCGGCTTATAACCTGTTCCTCTCAGCGCTAAAATGAAGATGATGTTGTTTCGATGATCTCTACTTATTCGTGTATAGTTGACAGAAAGGTAGATGGCAGCACAAGCTTGATCGTGCATCTGTTTATAAAGTCATTAAAAAAATGAAATCCCTGCCGCCTGGGATGCCGTGCAAGCACTGCAGGGTTAAAAAATCACTTATTCTACATATTGTTTACTGTGCTAGGTTTCTTGCTTTCCCTAAACTCCACAAAATTGGAATTCCTTTTTGACTTAAGAATGGCATCATATCCTTGGGCTAAATATTTAGTTTCCATATCTTCTCCTTGCTAACATTATTCATGCTATAAAAAAACTCTTTTGAAGTCATCGATAAACTTGGATATTTCTCGCCTGCATTTCATTATGGTTTCTTTTGACATTAAATCACTGTTTACTAATGTTCCAATCAAAGGAGCACTAAAATATCCATAATTAGGCTTTGGGAATTCCATTTGACATACATTCAAATTGAAGAGTTTATTAACGTTTCTGATTTATTTCACTAAAGTTAAGTCAAACCCACTTTGTTTTCTAAAATGAACAGTATGCCCAAATTGAAGAATTAGCTATAGGTCCTGTATTAGTTGACATTCACATGTACTATTTTGTGGTCACATTATTTTAAAAACTCTCTTTTCTTCTCTGGATTTGCTATTATATAGCACTTTGGTTCTTTTTGATGGTAGTAAAGGAGATATATCTCAGATTTTATGTTTTATGTTATTCAATTATCAGCCATCCAGTTCTCTTCAAACTGAATCTGACAATACTCTTCCCTTCCTTTGATATTCTTATCAACAATGAATCTGATTTTAGTTCTACTGTTTACTGTAAAACCTTTTTCTATTAGTCTGCCTTTCCATCCAAAGTCATGTCGCCAAGTTAAGCAAAAAATGTATTCTTTTTACTGTTATATATTTCACGCCCTCAGAGCCTTTGCTTACTAATGAACTCAGTGATTTGAGATCAGTTGCTGTTTACTAATAATTTTCTCCCATGGTTATTGATAATTCCTCTAAAAAATTCCAACTTGCCATCAAAGAAGACATTCTGCTATTAGAAATAACATTAATAATCTTGTTGTCATTCTGTTTCATTCGTCAGTTGCAAAATTGCATATATTGTGCAGACGTTCAATTGTCATTTTCTTGCCTATCAATAAAATCTCTTTTTTTGCTTCTTAAAGATTCCATTTCCAACCTTAATTCTTTGGGGAAATTATAACATATCTTGTCAGTCTGCCTTGAGATATATTGGCAAGACTAAATTAGCATTAAAGTTTCACATCAAGGAACAATGCATCTTATGTTTGAAAAGGCAAAATTAACAAGTCTTCAATAGCTAATCGTAATTTTGGCTTTGGGTCTGCAGAAATTATTCAATAAGTTTCTTCCATTTCTAAATTGGATTTTCTGGAAGCTTTTTACATTAACAAAGAATTTTGTTTAGTTAATTTTCAATTTCTATTCAGTCCTTCCTAATGTTTTTTCATTACTATTTCTGTTAACATATGGTGCTATCTTTTCATTTGCTTTACAACTGTTTAGTATAATTACTACCATGGCTCTGCTGTCATTGCAGATTTCTTTGCTTCTGATAAGAATCTATAATCTTGACTAAATCTATGCCAAACATAAGGTTACTTTGTTAATTTTATGTTTTACTTTGGTGTGTTTCTTTTCTGTCTTGAATTGGAAATTTCTGTTAGTGAAAATGACGCATTTTAGAGATGTTAATTTTAAAAGAAAAATCTCAGTAGGCCTTATTATCCATAATTCTGTTATGAAGTAAAATGATTATTTAATATTTTGTGGATAAAATCAGTTTATTTTTCAACAGTAATTGGTTTTAAGCTTGAAAAATGGTGTAAAGAAATAATGAATTGCCATGTGTTGTCTATATGTTCTACCATTTTATAATTTTTTAATCGCAAAACTATGTTTGTATTCATTTATTGAATTGGTTAGTTTTATTTAATGAAGAGGTTAGGTTATTGTTTCAGATTTTAATTCCAACGAGTGTAATTTGGAAAGGGAAAAAAAAGATTCTGACTCTGTATTTTTCATAGCCGGCAAAAATATTCATCTGGGGTTACCTAAATACATTTTTCTTCTACTTTCTAAAATATTCAGCTGAATTTGGTGTTTATATTAGAATCAGAAACTTGGTTTCTTATTTTTGTACTTTCTGCATATTTCTATTCGACAGTTTATTATTATTATTATTATTATTATTATTATTATTATTATTCTGTGAGTAACAAATGTTTGAGATTTTAAGGTCGTGGTGTAATTCAGTACTTGTAATTTTTTAATGTGTTTGAGAAAAGAGTATTAAAGTAATTTGCTCTGAAAAGTAATGCTATATAATAGCAGTTCATTGTGACATAATTGATTAACTGTTCTTGTGTTGAGTTCATGAATGTGGTGAGCTATATTGGGAATAAACATAAAAGGATGATTGAAAACTGAAATTTTATACATGAAAAATATCTTGTATTTAATGGAAAATCAGATGTCTTCTAAAAATAAAATTGTTTCCTTTTGCTATAGATTTTTGTTTCAAGTTTAATATATTGTAAAGGAAATATTGATAAATATTTTGCTGTCTAGTCCTTTGGTTCAGACAGAAGATCGTATGATAAATCATTTATAACACTTCTCCTTGTTCTTATAGTTTTATTCATTTTTTTTTTGTTAGGTATTAAACTTCTTGATTGTAAGGTTTATTAAAAAAGGGGGTGTAAAAACCTTTTTATGTTGCTATATTGGATAAAAGTGTTTCCGGAGGGTGTTATTTTTGTAAAGTTTTCCATTTCACTTTTTCTTCTAGCATAGTGAAGACATGTTTTATGATTGTTTCTGTATTGTTTCTGTGGTAGAAATTTTTTTTTAGTAGCTTTGTCATAAGATATTTTTTATATAGTCTTTTGTTTTTGAAATTTCTCTCTGTAGGTGACAGTATACATAAATTTCTATTTTCCATGTTTGAAAAATTTGTTAATGGTGACTGATTTATTTTTAATATGCCTGTTTGCAAACTTTCCATTTCGTGCATATTCCCCCAGTTTTTATTTAAATTAGTTTAATTGGTTTACCTTTTTGTTTAAATTAGCATGAATTTCAGCTTGCTTGTGAAGTCTCTCCTTCATAATTCTGTTGATAAAGAATTTTTTGAAGTTCTAGGGTGGAAGAACCCTTCTGATTTTATTTTTATGTCACATATTTTAAAATAATAATGAGTATGTTAAGTAAATTTTTAAAATGGGTTATGTTGCCATTTGCATTTAATTTATAATGATCTGTGTCAGAAAAAAAAAAAAAAGTGTGCATGTAAGCACTAATATAAGTATGTATGTATGTATTGAAGCTGAACACTGTTAAATGTTTATTCACAGTAAAAACAGAATTTTAATAGGAGGTGTAATAAATTGTATCAGTTATTCTTAAACGCGCTTGCACAAAATTTCAATCAAAGGAACTGGTATTTCTGTGGTTCTGAAAAGTATATTCAAACAGACTTTAAATATTTTGTATCAGTACATTTTAGTTCTATATCTCCAATTTTATCTGAACTTTTCACAGCTTCCTGATGTCTGACTTCACGAAACTCCTTTACACGTCCGTCAGAGTACTTTTTCTGTTGTTGGGCACCAATATGTAAGGATTGAAACAACACTCTTCAATGAAATCGAGCCCAGGTCTCTTGCTGGCAAGTGTTCTGACCACTATATTACGTAATCTGGTTTCCGTTTGATCCTTACATTATTTACGTCTTTAGATTGGGACCTTAGCAAATCAACTTTAAAAAAGTCTAAATATATATATTTGTGTCTTCAATATTATTTCGTTTTGTTTCGCACATTTTTTGTTCAGATATATTCTCTCTTTAATTAAGAGAGTATTTCTTTAAATACTCATTAAAAAAGTGTTTAAAATCAAATTATGAAAAGGAGAAGAAAATGTGAATAAAGCTTTTAGAAAATGTTGCATGCAAAACTTAAATAATTTTCATTTTCTGTGTCAAGTTAAATATTTTGCAGTTCCATGTATATTATTTCTATTTTAAAGGTTATAAAAGGCAGTTTTTAATCACTGAAAATTAAATTGATTGCATGCATGCAACTTTGTGAAAAAGTACGTAGTTGTTTCTGATACAATACTTGGAAGGAATTGCGCAAAAGTATTTTTTGTGGCTTAGAATGACTATAAAGCATACTTTTTTTTAGTACTTTTATGAAGCTATTTTTATTACATATACTTGCAAATTGTGTACAATTTTAAAATCTTCCAAATAATTGGAAGTAATGCACCAGACTTTCTTTTCCAAAAGAGTGTATTTCTTCCCCACCTCTTGCATTTTAATTGTGTAGAATTGTTTATTTTTTAGACTGGTACTAAATACAGACCCTTTTAGGTTTCTCCATTTGAAATTTTTCATTACAAGAGATTCATTTACTTTGAATCAACCTTAATAGCATATAAAATAAAACTGTTTTCCTTTCAGTGTATGGTATCATACATATTAATGTTGACTGCTCTTAGTATTATAACACAGTGCTACTAGACCTAAAAAATTTAAATTAATGTTAGGCATACACATACACACTTATTGCACATATTCAAGAAATTAATATTTAATTTTTAGGAACACGAGCTGAAAGAAAAAGCTGCAAGTCCTAGAAAAATCACTTGTTCATAACTTAATCTTGTTTAGTATCTGTTAAAGACCTTTTAAATATTGAGATATGGTTCAAAGTCAGATTTCTGTATCTTTTTTTGTTTGTTGCGATTCATTTCTCACTTGCATGCAGTATTCTTTAACCTTTTAAATGTCATCTCGGGCACAGCACTGGTGTTCGAAAATGTCACGCCCGAGTATTTCTCGGGGTTTTTTTTTTTTTTTTTTTTTTTTTTTTTGAGTGCATCGTATTGTCATACCCGATTATATATCGGGAGATGTTTATTTCGGCTACATTTGGTTTTTCCAATAAAAAAATTTGACAATTTGTGTACCCAAATCATCAAAATAACTTGACAGTTAAAGGGTTAACATTCAAGAAACATCTAAAAGTTATTTAAATGCATTTAATGAAGGTGCATAATAGTCCGAGAGGTTTCAGCTCTGTCCGAGTAATTGATTGTAAAAAGTTGTTTAAAAAAATTTTAATTTCCAGTTTCTTTTATTATTACATTTATATTCATTTTCAAGTATTTTTGTTTTTAGTGTAATGTTAGTTGTGTTCTGCTGTTACTAGATATTCATGTTCGAAAGGAATATCAGTTGAAGCTGGAATAAGCATGAAAGATAACTGATTTGCAAAGATATACTGCCTATGTGCTGTCAACGTTCTTAATAATTAAAATGTATCTTATCACAAGACTGGATTTTTATTTTATTTTTGACATGGACATAATGACATAAAATAGATTAAATATCAAAAATACATCCTTTTATATTTCACCTCTCTAAATAAGCAAAATGAAAATTTTGTGGCATTTAAATTGATAATTTTTTCTCTACCATTAAGTAATTTTAAAACTGTAAAATAAGTTTATTTTATTGTTATTTTGCAATGAGAAGATCTGTATTAATTGTTGCGGATAAGAAAGAATCTGTATTTTATTGTTATTTTGCAATGAGAAGATCTGTATTAATTGTTGCAGATAAGAAAGAACCTTCACTTACGTAACTACAAGGATAAAAACTGTTGGAAATGATTTCACTTTGAAAGACAGTGGAATTTTATCATTACGTCCAGTTTATAGAAAACCATAAAAAAAATCATGATTTTTAAAATGCTGAATAATTATTTTTTACTTAAGACCTGAAATTATTATTAGCTTCATTTTGCTCCTTTATTTCCATTGCTAACGGTAAATAATTTCAGAAAACTAACCTTAATTAGAACCAAATATTATATATTTTGCTGTGTAATATGTGAAACCTAAATCAAGTGCTATAGTGCAAGAATTTACTTCGAAAAAAAGTTGGAGAAAAAGATCTTTTATAACTGTGAATCAAACCTTTATACACCCAAGTCTCATCTTTTGAATTTATTTCTGAGCTGCTTAAAGCAGTCATCATTTTCTTCTGCTTTTGAATCAGAGATAAAGTCCATAAATCTGAGCTCTGCTCTTATATTCTCATTTTTGATAGATTTAGAAAATTTTCTCTTGCAACAAATGATGTATAATATTTTTATCTCTTTCACTGTTATATCTATTCTCATATTTAATACTATCTACTATAGGTTAAAAGTATTCTCTTCAAAATAAGAAAAGAAATGGACATAGAATAAAAAGGTAATAAAATAATCTTGGAAAAAATAATGCAATAACTGTTCCACGTGGTAGGTCTGTACCACAGCCTTTTGGAAGAAAGAGACAGATTCATTATCTTTTAGAAACATATGCTCCTTATGAAAAAGAAAGGGTAACATAAAATGTAGAGTTGTTATTCTGAAAATCAGGGAAGCAAAAAATGTTACAGCAAATGCAGTGTGTAAAGAATACCAGCTTATAGGTATTACCATAAATATTCTGCATGGAAATACACATACAGGCACCCATCTTCTAACCCAAGATTCATGGGCGTGCATCTGCAGGGCAAACACCAGACTGTCCATAAATGGTTTATGAATAGGAAAGAATAGTACTTCTTTAATAGTTCCTTCCTGCCTTCTTTGTAAAGTGAATGCAACTCAGCTACGAAACCAATAAATGATGGGAATTTTTTTCAGAAATATGTCATCTTTAAAAGAAAAAAAGCTTTCATATGGAAGTACAATTTAGACTTTATGATCATAATATATTCTTTGTGTATATCCTAATATATATAACTTGTTCGCCATATATGTGCTGTATTTGAGCAGAGATGTCGTAATATTGCAGTTTTTTTTTTTTTTTTTTGTGTGTGTGTGTGTGTGTTGTGTTTTGTAGCATTAGTATTTGGAAGTGATGCCGTGAGTATTTTGCATATATTCTCTGGTGCACTGTGTGGATGAATAGTAATAGGATAGGATATCATATGAAACTGCATATTCTTCTTTTTCTCTTAATATTACATCTGAATTAGAGTGCTTCGTATTTTATACAAACTTTGTACTTTTAGTTGCCAAAAATTTCATTTTGCATGTGAATTTTAAATACAGTCAAAAGTCGTTAATCCAGACTCGTTGGGACTTCGGCGATTCCAGATTATCGATTTTTCTGGATTATAGATCATCAGTTTAAATCTGGTAAAATGGCATGCAGAAATTATAAAATTAAAAATATGAAACCTTAATTTACAAAATAAAGAACAATTATGATCTAAAGGTTATCAAAATTTACAAAAAAAAGCTTAATATTTATTTGTTTACTTTATTAAACATTTCTTTCAATGTAAGTTGTTTAAGTTGCTTCATTTCATGTGATAATACTTTCTCTTTAATTCTATTAAACAGACATAATTTCTTGTTCAGTTACAAAGTTCCGCTGTTCAAGTCCTATAATTGCTCGTTAAAGTTTAGATAAACAAAGGATATGCTTTTATCCATTTTTTGCAGCAATTCCACTTTTTGTTTAATGGACTCCTAAAGATACTTTCGCTTTGTATATCCTTTACATATTAGTAAATATATATCGGAAATTCTATTTGACATAATCGAAAGTTCAAGCTTACTTTATATAAATTGCTCTAACAGTCTGCAAAAAATAATAATCCGGATCCAATTCGAAGATTAAGGAACAACGCAATCTGCAACATTAACGGAAATAGATAATTAGATAATTTTAGCTTAGCTTATCCCGTCCGTAATACATTAAACGCGCATTCGTAAACGTATTTTGCGCACACGCACACGCGAATTCGCAGCGGTAAAGGTCTTATGCACATGCGTCAACGCGACGCATGCGCAGAAAGTTTGTAGCTTTGAGGTCCGGATTATGGGTGTCCGAATTAACGACTTTTGACTGTATATCAAAAGAAAAGTTATTGATACTGCTTGCTCTTTGCCCATGTATTTTAATCTTGTATAAATTGTAAGATGTTCATGTACCTCTGGGTTTTTTTGGGGGGGAGGGCAGAGGTAGGAGGGTAATATAAGAAAAATCATTTTTATGCAAGAATTAGTAGGAAAATAGAGTTAGCTGTGCTTAAACATTTAATGTAAGTAATGGGGCCCCTTTAACGTAACTTAGCCAGGATTCGTATAGTCCTTAAAAGTCCCTAGGTTTTTTTGAATCTATTTTTGGTCCTTAAAAGTCCTTAATTTTAATCATATGGAATTTCTGTGTGTTTTTACCACTGCCATTTTTAGTGTGAATTAGCATTTTGGAGGAATATTTTTGGTGATTCGCTGACAAATATGGTTAGCTTTTGAATGGGTCCAAGGTTTATAATTTGTTCCTGTTTTTAATATAAATGGTAGGATACTCAAATTTCAGAGTGAAAGACAAACACAAACATTTCGAAATTATTTCATTTTTTCTAATTAGCAGTTAAACAACGTTTTGCTTTTGGATATGTGAATTCTTTTATTAAACTGCTCTAAATTTCGTGACTTATCAACATCAGCTTCTATAGAGTATTTTTAATTCCGAGATCTGAGAATTTTTCAAGGATTTTTTCCTAAAGCATTGTAACATTGATAAATATCATTAAAATAATGGTA